CACCAGTGGACCCGGAAAGCAGGCCACACCTACAGAGCAGGTTCGAACAATTTTTGAAACCCACCACTGAATACGTTTGACTACTATTTGAAATTATTCAAATGGTTCTTATGGGCTGTACGTTGCTCCTTCCAACTTAAATCTGCCAAGTAAAAAGGTATTGGTAAACTGATGCCTTGGGTGAGAAATATCTCCTCAGATTACCGGTATTTCAGCTGTGCCTTGTTTGGGAATTCACAGCATGGGGCAAAAAAAAGTGCTTGTGAGTGGACATGTTGAGATGCTGCCTTATTTTGCCCTGTCAATGGTGTATGGTTCCTGGATAGCTTCTAGGAATATGAAAGCTGCTGTTAGTGACCTGCTATTCATAGCAGAAGTCAATGCCTTGTGCCTCCTTCAAAATTACCCCTGTAATTCCTTCTCTCCTTTCACTCCTGCTGGAACATGGAATTATTACTTATCGCATGCAGATTACACAGCCATAAATGTCAAGGTCTACAGCTGGGTATGAAGGGTATATAGCATGTAACACTTCCGACTATATTGCTGCTTTTGAGTTAACATTTTGGGCTCTCAACCGAACAGATGCTAATAGCTCAAAAACCAACTGGCTGTTACATCATTGGGTATGACTCAGGCAGGACCTCTCCCGCTGGATCATCTGATCCTTCATCTTTGTCTTTGTCCTTGTTTTGCCCTGACATTGATGTCCTGTGGATTTTGTACAGTGATCAGGAAAGCAGTGGAGCTTATTGTAATCATGCATCTTCTGTTAGGTGGTGCAAGACATGTGAAAAGCTGCTCCGGTTTTTGAAGTGAACATGTCCATGAGCCCCAGCATCATGATCGTGTGTGCCATGCACTAAATTAAGGGTAATTGGATAAAATATTAGCATGGTAAAAAGGAAATGACAGCACTGAGCAACTCCACCACAAAAGTCCTTCCTGACTGCACACCATTTGCAGCCGACAACTACCCTGTTTCCCTGAAAATTATTTCCGGATAATAAGCCCAATCAGGCTTTTGAGCACATCTGCTAAAATAAGCCCTCCCCTGAAAATAAGCCCTCCTCAAAAATATTGCAACACAGCAGCCATGAGGTGACCATGCTTGCCACCTCCTGTACCTCAAAAACAATAAGACCTCCCTGAAAATAAGCCCAAGCGCTTATTTTGGGGGTCAAAAGAAAAAAAAACCTGTCTTATTTTGGGGAAAATACGGTAAGTTCAATGTATCTCTGCCCAAGGTGGGTACCCAGATCACTGTTTGAGCTTTGACCTGAGAGCAACATTATCCCAACAGAGACAGTTATAG